CAAATGTCCTTTCATACAATATATACTAATTGTACTTTAATTAAATATTTTTGAAAAAAAACGGTAAAAAATCAAAATGGCTGCCGCTCAAAATGATAAGGACAGTAGATTATGTTAAGATTTTATTATATTAAGTAATATTATGGAACTTTTAAGACTTAAAACATTATGTTTGATGAATATTCTTTAAATAAATTTATAATTCACGCTTCTAGATGTAAGACTTCTTACTTAATTTTAGTGTTTAAAAATATGTGAAAATTTTGTCAATTTATGATAAATTGTCGTACAGAAACTTGTTTATTCTTTAGGTTAACTACCAAAAATTATAGATAATTTGATTATTTATCAATTTATGATCAAACATTTAGATAACTGTTAATTAATGTAATTTTTTTTCAAAAATTTTATTTTTCCTTTGCGAAATTTTTGTGAACTTAACTCGACAATTTGAAAAAAAATTGTTAAATATTCGCAAAACAATGCTTAAATTAGTATATTTCTCTTCCATTTTAATTGTTTAATAACATATATCAAGCAATTGAACCACTTCGAAAGGATAAGTGACTAAGCAATCGTTCTCTTTCAACAACAAGACTTTTTGATATGGCAAAAATGAAAAATGTGTTGGAACCTAAAAAAATATGATTTACATAAGTGAAGTTTTAACATAAAATAATTAAATTTGGCTTTTTTAATCGAATAACACTCTATTTTGTATTCTATGAGTGCTAAATTTAACATTTTTACAAAAAAATATTTCTTCATATTTTTTCGTCTTGAGAAGCTCATAGAGAACGATTGCTTAGTCACTTATCCTTTCGAAGTGGTTCAAGTGCTTGATATATGTTATTAAACAATTAAAATGGAAGAGAAATATACTAATTTAAGCATTGTTTTGCGAATATTTAACAATTTTTTTTCAAATTGTCGAGTTAAGTTCACAAAAATTTCGCAAAGGAAAAATAAAATTTTTGAAAAAAAATTACATTAATTAACAGTTATCTAAATGTTTGATCATAAATTGATAAATAATCAAATTATCTATAATTTTTGGTAGTTAACCTAAAGAATAAACAAGTTTCTGTACGACAATTTATCATAAATTGACAAAATTTTCACATATTTTTAAACACTAAAATTAAGTAAGAAGTCTTACATCTAGAAGCGTGAATTATAAATTTATTTAAAGAATATTCATCAAACATAATGTTTTAAGTCTTAAAAGTTCCATAATATTACTTAATATAATAAAATCTTAACATAATCTACTGTCCTTATCATTTTGAGCGGCAGCCATTTTGATTTTTTACCGTTTTTTTTCAAAAATATTTAATTAAAGTACAATTAGTATATATTGTATGAAAGGACATTTGAAACTGTATAACTGGTCCAAATTTCAGCAAATTTAGATAATCCTGTGCGTCAAAATTAATAAAAATGTGAAAAAAATTTTGCTGTCCTTATCATTTTGAACGCTACTGTATTATATCCATAGCGTAACTATGGCAAAAAAAATTGATGTCTTAATCAAATTCAAAATCTAGATAAATATCCCGAAAATATTCAAATCCGCAAATACAAATTGCCAAAAATTACTTTCCATATTAAATTTAAATGCCTTACAATTTTCAGACATTCAACAGCTGCTTGCCATTAAAGTTCGCTTATGATTCTTCAGAAGAATTATCAAAATAAATCATCAATCCAAAAATACATCATCTTCATCATCATAATAGTCTTCAGAAATTCTTTATTTTCTCATGATATTAATCACTCAATTGATTCGACTCTTGAGGATGTCATAACGTAAGAATGACAGGGAACATAAGCAACGTTATAAGATGGAAATATGAATATACGAAAATTATATATTCCAATGTAGACTTTTTTGTTGTAAAGTAATTTTCAGAGTCATTTCAGCAGCTAAACACGTGAAAAGAGCTTACTGCTTATTCACATTCAAAATAATGCTAATGCTTAGTCTAAGACACCCGAAAAATGAAAAATGTATGGGAATTGCCGTCGAATTTTGTTTTATGTAGATTCAGTCGTATATGAAAATTTTTGTTTCTTTTGTCTAATGTGTGTAATTCTGAAAAGGTTCCAATTAAACCAATTCTAACAATTCTTTGTATTTTTCTTCTCGGTATCATGACTTCTCTGCTTCTTCTTCTTCTTTATATTATTTTTTTAATGTTTACCGAATTAAAGTATATTTTCTCTTCTTCTCCTTTTAATGACTTTTCGGTGGATATATTTATAGAAATAACAAGAATAACAGCAACGTAATATTGTATTGTATGAGTTTGTTCCTTAAATTCAATTTTTTTTCCCTCATTTTCGACATGTAGAAGGAAGAAAAGAAGAGAAATTCGATGACAATGAGATAATCATCAAAAAATGAAAACATTTTTTTTATATTCCATGCTTCCTTATTCAGTTGTCTATCGTTCTTACTTACTTACAGCATATTACAATGTATTTAGTATTATTTCTATGGGAACAGAACTTTATATCTTTTTTTGGTCTCTGTTTATTGACCAGTGAAGAAAATTATCGTGTGAAGGTTTAGAAATTATAACTTTTGAAGGGTTTGAAGGTCGTCTTGTGACCGGAAATATAGAAGATTTGAATGAATATTGAATAGATGTTGTGACTAAGTCGAAAAAAGAGCAATGTGCACTGCAGGAAGGCTACTCAATTTAATTCTAATGACAATTGTCACGTTGAGTTTTTGTGATCGATTTAAAATGAGTCTTTTGTAGAAAATTAAGGAAATCATTATATCAATCCAGATCGGCACATCCGAAAATTTATTTTCATGGCTGCTGTTTGGACAGTTGACTTAAAACTAAGTGTATGCTTGACAAATTCAAATATTTTATGTGCTTATTCCAAGTTTTTTCTCATTAAAATCATTCAGCATTTTTTTCGTAACAGTAACAGTACAAGGAGGAGAAATTGGTATGGTATAGAGACCCTCAAGCTATGCTTATATAGCCTTGACCTTGAATTTAGTAAGATCAACTTAATCGCACATCAAATTCATAAAAATTAAATTCAGTCTCATGCAAGATCCAAATTTAAATTATTAATGCTAAACATACATCCTCCTATGTCTTGTTGCTTCTTCTCACTCCTCAAAAGACTCATCTCATTCATTCATTCATCAAAGAACATTCTTTGATAATGAGAATAAAAATAATCTTCAAAGAAAAAAATTCTAAATGACATTTTTTTCTGATCTACCGAAATTCTCATGCTTCTATTGATTTCATGTCAATACCAGTAGATGGATGATGGAATTAAATCATCACAATGAATGATTGTCTAAAATAGAATATGCTGTGAGAAGCTCATCGAATGATGCATCGTCATCATTATTAAAGGAATAAAGTCAAGAGTAGGAGGACGAATGTCTTCTGTAGTAGAGAAAGATAAGAGACATATAAAAGATGTGAGAAAGTCACATTTTTGGACCACCAGCTGTCGTAGCAAGAGACACACATTCCTAAAGTCCATTTCACTTAAAAACCTATAAAGACAAGTTTTTTTATCGATAGAAATTAAATTAAGATTATGAAGCTAATTTCATTATGAATCTAAATGTGAAGTCCGTCCACCGAGCAAAGAAGAAGACAAAATAAAAGATTTCTCTCATTTTGACATGAAATGCTGCCGCTTAAACTACTAGGTCGGTCTTATTTGTGAGTTACAATTTTATTTATGTGTTTATCAATCAACCGCCAAAATATGTAGATAGCCGTATCATTTAAAGTTTTACAAAGCTGGTGGCACAACTTAATTGAAATTCCTCATTCCCTTCTGTGAGAGCTAAATAAATCCCATAAAAAATATAAAATATGTATTTCCATTTTCTCGATGGATGGATAGATGGACAGACATAGCATATAAAAGAAATCAAAGCGCTTTTAATTGATAAAAGAGTAAAAAGAGCCAAAAGAGAGAATTTTTTAATGTCTTAAGCTCCAATTAACCTCGAAACTGAGAAGAACATCAACATTTCATATAGAAATGGAATAAGAAATAAGTAAAAAGCGAAAGAACACATAAAAACGAATGAAAATAGCAGTTTTACTGACTTAGAGCATAAGAAGGATGGAAAAAATTTAAAATAATCAAAAAATATCTTAAAACAATAATTTATGTCGGCATTGCTCGTTATATTCATCTTAACATGCAGTAACAGTAAGTAATCGACTTCCATTCTTTATTGAATTAATTTTTTTTTCGTCTGCAACAGCGAAATCGTGCTTGTTTTGTTAAACGAACGAAAATTATTTTCTTATACACTTTTGTTTTATTTATCGAATTAGAAGCTAAAAAGTGAATTGTGAGAAATGTGGCATGGAATGAGTATCGATGATATATGTGGGGGGTCATATTGAGGTTACAAGAGATTGCTAAAGTCAGTTTATTCTTCCAATTTCCTACGGATTATAGCTCGCATTTGATTGGAAGCTCTCATGGAGATTAGTGTCTTTTCAAGGCTCTTTTCAGTGTGATTTCTTGCTGTATCATGAGAAAATTGCATGTTGATTTAGCGTTACAGTTTACTGCAAAATATTCAAATTTGTGGGAAACGCATGTACAGCTTTTGGTCATTTTCTACCAAATTAGGTATAATATCTTCAAATTCTTTAGAGTCTCGCAAGAACCTTTTATAGAGTTAATAATTAATGATTCGATTTTAGTTTAGAAACTTATAAAAATAAAAATGACGACAGTTGTCAAAATTTATCAGATCCCGCTCAAGCTGAGACTTTCAACTTGTGTAATGACTATGCTTGCGTACATTATTTGCATTATCATTGTCACGTGCAACGCTAATACAATAAATAAGTTTCATTATCATTTTCACAAACTATGATTATTTATTTAATGAAGGCAATCAATAAAAGCTTAATAAACAACTTTTATTTCCTTATCATGACCATCGAAATTTTAATAAAATCGCAAATAATTTGCGTGAAACTTTTCAGTATGATTTTTAAATTAAAGTGAAAATGTTGTTTTCCGGAACTGAAATTTCTTGCATCCTAGCCGGTACAATATTAATATTTATTCTTTACTGGTGTAATCAAAGGTTAAGTTATTTTAAAAACCTTAATATTCCATACTTGACAAGCTTTCCATTTCTTGGAGCTCTAACGGAAGCTGTGATTGGGAAGAAAGGACTTTATGAGTGTATTGATGACATTTATAGAAATCCTCAATTCAAGAATGAACAATTTTTTGGAATATTCATGTTTCATAAGCCATCACTAGTGATTAAAGATCCAGAAATTATAAAACAAGTTTTAGTTAAAGATTTTAATAATTTTGAAAATCATGTGGGAGGTTCAGATGATCATGATCCAATCGGACGAGATAATTTATTTTTGTCTAAAGATGGTTTGTGGAGGAATCTTCGAAAGAAGCTAACACCATTCTTTACCAGTGGCAAAATGAAGTCCATGTTTCCATTTTTGGATAAAATTGGTGATAATTTGTTGGAACACATGGACAAGATGTAAAGTAGCAAGTGCTTAGAATTCTCAAAAAAAAATTAAACATTATTTCTTCAATTTTCAGGTCATCGAGTGAAAATTGTGTTGAAATGAAGGTTAAAGATAAACTTTCGCTCTTCACAACTGATGTTATTGCTAGTGTAGCATTTGGTGTTGATGCAAATGGACTTAACAACCCAAAATCGGAATTCGCAAGAATTTCAAAAATGATTTTTGATTTTACTTTCCGTCGTGGATTTGAATTTACTGCACTTTTTCTCCTTCCTGAAGTCACAAAGTTATTTAACTTTAAAATGTTTACCAAGGAAGGAACAGAATTCATGGAAAAGACAATAACTCATGTGATGGACGAAAGAGAGAAGTCAAAAATTAGTCGGAATGATTTGATCGACACTTTAATTGAAATAAAAAATTCAGAAATGAAGAATAATGAAGAACAGCCATTACCAATTGAGACATTGATAGCACAAGCGTCAGTTTTCTTGTCAGCTGGTCATGAAACGTCATCTGGTACTGCTACATTTACTTTATATGAAATTGCAAAGCGACAAGATATACAAGACCGCGTACGAGCCGAAATTCAAGAAGCCTTGATAAAAAATGATGGAAAATTGACTTATGACACTGTCATGCATGAGACGCCTTATCTTCATCAAGTATTACTTGAAGTTTTAAGGATTTATCCAGTTCTTCCATTTCTAGATCGTGAATGTACCAATCCCAACGGATATTCATTGAAACCTTATTCCGACTTTATTATTCCATACAAAATGCCCATCTTTATTCCCATCTATGGCATTCAACGTGACGAGAAATATTTTGAAGATCCATTAAAGTTTGATCCCGAGAGATTTTCACCAGAGAATATTCACAAAATATCCACGTTTACCAATCTTCCATTTGGAACAGGAAATAGATCGTGCATTGGAGGTAAATTTTTTGCATAAATAATTTATGATAATTTTTTTATAGAGCTCATTAATCATTCACAGAACGTTTCGGACTTATGCAATCAAAGACAGCTGTAATTAAAATTTTAATGAACTATCGAGTTGAAATGACGGACGAGACACCGATGGAAATTCGATTAGCTAAAAATGCTCTTGTTATACAATCGGAGGTGCCAATTGTTTTAAGATTTGTTAAAGATAGAATTGATGAATAAGTTTATTTTTGATAAGTTAAGAATTTAAAGTTTTTTCAATAGGTAGGAATTGGGAGTCAATAAATTTATTTTTTTTTTCAAAAGTATCGACTTAAAATTGCATAATCTGTTTCAATTTTCACCTATAAATCCTCACATTAATTCTATTATGTGATTCCATCGATCCCAATGATTCGATAATATTGATTTATTAAATAAATTATGAAACTTTTAATAACATTATTACTTGATTTACAAAAGCCGCACATCCAATTCTACAAGCCTTTCTATTATTCAAAATGTTAACTCTTATTGAATTTATTTTAAATGTGATTAAAACACTCGCAATAGTTGATTATAATTTACAATCGATAAATTGTGAAATAAAAATCAATTTCAATATAATGTGAAAATTTATTTAATGACTAGTTCAATAGCTTGTAAATAGGTTCACAATTCAATAGAGATAATTAGCTCGTAAATATTATCAATTAAATATTTGAAATAGTGGCAGTATTTGTTTAATGAGGGCTTGAAAAATTTAGAGAGAGGTTCAGTGCTCATGTGTCGTTTAGCGTGTACAATTTGTAAATTGTCGAGAATTAAATGATTGACTTTTATTGTAAATTATAGAGGATTGTTAAAAACTATTTTAGGGGAGGGCTTGATCTTTAGAATGATGTATATTAAGAATGTTATGCAAATATTCGCAAATGGTATGTTTGAACTTAATTAAATATTTGAGAGATAACTTTAAATTCATTCAGAGTTTAATTTTAAGTCCTAGTTCAATTTTAAGCAAATATTTATTTAATATTAGAGCTATTTTCAAATGTCGTCCATTTTAGCTATATTCAATCATATTTTATTCTATGGTAAATTTACAAACAAAAACTATTCGAATAAAACTTCTCAGAGCTAAAACGGTTTGGTGATTCTATATCTATACCTTCGTTGATCTTTCAGGTTTGCATTAACTTCATTCGACATCATAAGGGACGTTCACTTATGATGTCCCCCCTTCCAACTTGTGACGTCCAATCCAAAGCACAAAAAAATTTTAATTTCCTCATTAAAAAATTGGATGTCACAAATTTCTTGACCCCCCTCCCTCTCCTGTCACAATGTGTCACAAACTTTTTAACCCCCTCCCCCAATAAATGTTGGACGTCATAAGTGAACGACCCCAAAAGCGAACAACTCCTTTCAATACAATCAGAAAATAATATTATTTTCTAATGATTCTCTCGGTAATGATACTCAACTACAGCTTCTTCGAATCTAGGTTAAATACAAACAATACTCAATAACTCTTATCATCAAACATTTTAATAAAATTGTCTAGTAATATTTTATGTGAGCTGAAGCCATGAATGTTCACATTCATTTTCTATTATTTCAGGATTGGATGTTGTGTGTTTGTGCATATTCAGTGACATTGTGAATGTATCATAAATTTTTCATTCAGGTCTTAAAAAAATACATCATATTGTATTGTATTTCAAGCCAATGCATCTGTTGATGGTAAATAAAATTTTATGCAAAGTTTTTATTTACAAAAAAACTAATGGAAGTCGTTTAAAAACCCATTATTGTCCCACCCCGTTGTTAAATTCCATAAAACTGAATGACACTAAAGATTCTAAGCCTCGTAAAACCATTCACATCTATTTATTATTAAATCGATTTGTGGCTTCGTAGAAGAAATTTATGCATCAACATGATCATGAATATTGTGGATGAGACATAAGTTTCAGATGATTTTCAAACGTTGTTGATAGTAATTTATTTATTATAGAGAGAAAACAATCTTATGAAAATGAAACTGCATTTACGGTACTAGGTATATGAGGACTGAAATATTATCAAATATCATATGAATGCACATAAAGAAATGCCAAATGTGATGTTTTTATGGTAGAATAATGATGAGATGAATGGATGGAGAAAAACAAGAGAGATGAGAAGAAAGAAGAGCAAGAAGAAAGAAGAGGAAAAAAAGCAATAAAACAATTTAAAAGATATTGAAAAAAGATGAAGAAAAAAAAGTAGAATTATGGACAGCCATAAAAAATTAATTATAATAAATTACTATTCAATCTCAAATCGATTAGATATCAAGTTAAATGCTGGCATCTCAGGGAGTAAAAATTTACTACTGCTTTAGACAATTTTCATTATTAAAAGTTCCAATCATTTCCACTTATTTTATCTCATCTATCAATATTGAGAGAGAAAACCCAAAATAATGAGGGTCGTTCATTTATGATGTTTTCTATCATTTGAACTGTCAAATTATTTTTGATTTTATTTTAAGTGTCTCATAGTTTACAAAGTTTTAGAATCTACCTAAATGTCGACTTATGCTGGACGTCATTATCGATTAGCCCCCAAAAACTACGAGAGAAGTTAATAAAATCAAAATTAAATGTGACTCCAAGTTTGAATTAAAATACACAAGCCATTAAAAATGTCTATAAAAATATTCATTTTGCTTCTGCTTCTGAAATAATTTGCCGAGCGAAAATTTTAATATCATTGAAAATTCCATAATGACTCATTTTGAACAATGCAATATTCATAATCGCCATTATGATTTATTGCCAAGTTTTTTGCAGCGACACCGACAAATAAACTAATTTCACGAAAATTACTTCCATTAACGTTTTGTGTTGTGCGAGGTTTAGTTTTAACAATTCATCTCTGAATTGGCTTTGGTTTCATTACTGTGACATGCGAATTTTTTTATGTTTTTGATCAGAATTTTGGATTTTTGGACATGCGAAATATTTTATGTTTTTAATCGGAATTTTGGATTTTGATGTATGAATTTTATATTGTTTTGGGATGCATGCTTGCAAGCCTAATTATGATCCAAAACTTGTCTTATTAATAAAGTTTACAACTGTGGTTTACGTCATAGATTAATTGCTCTTGAAACTTGTATAAAATCCTCAAAACCTTCATTATCTAAATCTGAAGAACCTCCATCTCATTTTCAAGTATCATTAGATCCCCCTGAAAATCTCCAATCATCCCAATCTAAACAATTAAGGAATCAATTCTCCTAAAATAGTCATTACAACGACATAATCTGATTATCATCAAAATTGTCATCATTGTGACCCAATTAATAATAAAAATATTTTTAAAGGCTCCTTAAGAATGCCATCAAGATGGAAATCATTTATAGGGTTATTAAAATATCAATGCTGACAGCTATGAATGATGGATTAATGATGAGAGAATTCTTGAAGGTTAAAAGTCTGAAATGAGTGGAATATAAAAATTCTTTAAAGACAAAAAAAAACCTGTCGATTAATTCAGAATTTTTATTTTTCTGTTCTGTTGATGCTTGTCGATGCTAGAAAAAGAAGAAACTAATTTGAAATTTAATTTAAAGGTGAATTTTCTAGATCAATAGTTTCTCATCGCGCTGTGTATAAATTACCCTGCTTGTCTTTGTCTATATCCTCGTCATATGGCATCGTCAGTAGAAAAAATAAGAAGTAAAAATTTTTTTTAATTGCTGACCGGTTCTTGTGTATAATGCTCACTGCATGAATGGACATTTCTACTTCATTACATTCACTGCTTCCGCCCATTTTATTTTTACACGCTTTTTATTGAGTTGCTCTGTTGGTTTCTTTGTATGTCACGTTCAAATCTTGCAATCGATTTTTTTATTACACGCTTTTTATTGAGTTGCTCTGTTGGTTTCTTTGTATGTCACGTTCAAATCTTGCAATCGATTTTTCGACTACTTCTATTGCTCCAATCGAGCTCAAATTTTGTATACACACGTATTCCCGGTGACAATACAATATTTTAACACTTTAGAACCACACAAATACTTAATTATAGTACAATTTTAATAAAACTTTTTTATATGGGAAAAAAATCCAATGTCAATGATATAAAATTTTGATTTGTTTAAAATATTATACTTGAAATGCTCAAAAGTCATTTATATGATTCATTATAGTTTAATTAATATTACTAATTATTAATAATACTAATAATTGGAGAAGCTGAAGATTTTCTGGGAGGATGAAAAAATTGACAAGTAATTTTTTCATGAATATCCGTAAGTGAAAATTTGAATTTTCAAAAAAAACCGTTAATCACAAGTCCGTTACGAATTAATGCAAAATAACTATCAATATGTGATGTGCATTTAGCACACATAATTTGAGCATAAACGTATGCTGTTTTAAATGTATTACAATATTTATAGCACTTCACCAATTTAATTAAATTGACTTCTATTTATTATCGGCTTAACGTAATTTTGCATAACATATGAATGACATTCATTGAATTTAAATTTGAAAAATCCGTTATAAATACGTTACATATAGATGTGATTTGCATCTTTATGTTAAGAATCCACACGTTATGTAATAGGAATGGTACGGATAAACACAAAATCTTTACGATTGATTTTTAATGTTCTTTACTCATGAATGTTTTAAAAAACACAGAAAACGCACATAATTGAAGTTCAGGACATTTTTTGGAAGAGTTTTATGTGTTTCCAGGTATGACTTAAATTATAAAAACGAATGAAAAATCCTGACAGTCGTTACTAATTACCCATTAAAAAATGGGAATATATTAAAAGTTGAACGAAACGAAATGGAGTTGAATTTGAATTGTTGTGGTCGATATTCGATTAAAAGATTGAGACTAAAAAGTAGCAAATAAAAAAACGTTAAAAAAACTTTTTAAAAAACACGCTTTTTTCCCGAAGACTAAAAAACAAATAACATTTTTTTCTTGAAGTTAAGTCTGTTGTTGAGAATAAAAACGAAGCGACCAAAAAAGGAGCAAATAAAAAAATGTTAAAAAAAACTTTTTAAAAAACACGCTTTTATCAAAAAGACTAAAAATCAAAAAGTTCAAAATAAAATAAGGTCACACTTTTAGCGAATCAGGATTTTAAAACTTTTCTTGTGACAACTAGAAATGTAACATAAATTTTTTTCAAAATATTGTGATTAAGTCCAAGAACACAATGACTCTAAAAGCGTGGGGCTTTGAGATTTGACGCTTCTCTTACTTAAGAACTTAGTTGAACTAAGAAATGCATCCTTAAATTACGCCCCACGCTTATAGAGTCATTGTGTTCTTGGACTTAATCACAATATTTTGAAAAAAATTTATGTTACATTTCTAGTTGTCACAAGAAAATTTTTAAAATCCTGATTCGCTAAAAGTGTGACCTTATTTTATTTTGAACTTTTTGATTTTTAGTCTTTTTGA